AGTTTAATCTGCTTTGGTTGAAGTATAACTGTGGTACCTTCAGCTTCCATGACTGCACTGCTTATGAATTCCATTTCAAGTCGAGAAAAACCTAATTTAATACAGCTAGTTAAATCATTCACTTTAACTAAAGGCTTGATTGCAGCACTGCACAGCTGTGAGTGAATACAGATAGACAGTGTGGAAAATTTTCCATGAAAACATATAGCAAAAATTTACCACAGAAAATTTTCCACCCCACATCTGTGATTATGGTAATGCTTGTTTTCCAAATTAGTTTATCATCCCTTTAGGAATGGTCTTCTTTGATGTTAACCCTATTGGGGAGCGGGAAGGCACTTAAAACTGTGAATAAATACTGTGCTGTGTTGGAATGAAGGTGCTACATTAATGTTCAAGAATCTCATGTGAGGCACATAGATTCTTTTCAGGAGTAACTAAACACCTATCCATAATATAAGGATGGTTTAGTTTTCAAGTTGTGGTGACCGATCATGAAGTCTAATACGCTGTTCTCAGTTTTGGCAAAACCTTTTCTCTGCTTTATTGTTGGGGCCCTCTTGAATCATATGCCATGGCCCCACTAAATTGTTGGTTGGCTTTATGTTTTACATATGTAAGAAGGCCTGGGAATTCCCTCAACTCCAATCCAGACAGTAAGGAAAACCTGGCACTTATAGAAATATTCATTGAATCACAGAGTTGGAAGGGACCATAAGGGCCATCTAATCCAACCCACTACCTAAAGAAGAAACTGATAGGGAACTCATTTGCCCATGCAAAGCTTACTTTTTGGTGCTACCCAAATTGTGGAAAATTTAAATACTTTCAAACTAAACTCAAACTAAAAGTGCCATTTTCCTAATTTCATTATTTTGGATGGAGTTTGGTATTCAAATTAATTGTGTTTTAGAAATATCGTTTAGGCTTGGCGATGAGCATGTGTTACTGTATTGATGTCCTGAAGGAGACAAAAGGGATTGCAGAAGAAAGGAGCCAAAAGGAGCCAAAAGGGATTGCAGCAACTACAGGAACATTGCGTTAATATCACATGGAACTAAAGTGATGCTCAGAGTTTTACAAGAAAAATTCTTACCATACATGGAAAGAAAAATGCCAGATGTCCAAACTGGATCCAGGAAAGGAAGAGGCACTAAGGATCATATTTCAAGCATATGTTGGCTAATGGAACGTACTAAAAATTTTCAAAAGAAAATTAACCTGTGCTTTATATAGCAAAGCCTTTGATTCAGGGGTAGGCAAACTGTCCCCTTTAAGGGCCGAGGGACTTCAGCTCCCAGAATCCCAGACTATTGGCCAACATGGCTGAGGCTTCTGGGAGCTGAAGTTCCTCGGCCCTTAAAGGGGACAGTTTGCTTACCCCTGCGCATGAAAAGCTATGGATTGCTCTTCGAGAAATAGGGTGCCACAACATTTGTCCTGATTATACACTCAGGAGGGATGTGTAGCTAATTCCAGCTCCCTGCTGAGTATGTGTCTTTGTTGGTATTGAAACACTTTTTTACATTCCCACATTACATTTTTAGTGGGACCTATTAAACATTTTAAATGCACACCATTAAAAACAATGCACTGGGGATTAATTGAAAGATGATGAATAAACCCTTATAATAAACAAAATTGAAGCTATATCTTTAAAAGAGTTACATAGAAGAGTTGTTTGGATACCAGTGAAAACAGAGAAGACTTCACTCTTGCTTCCACTTGTTTTAAAGAACAAAACTTGTCCATGGGTTTTTTTTTGCAATACTGTATATTCAAGATACTGACAGATATTGTTCAGTGTAGTTATTTGAAGGAGGGCCAAAGGAAAGGCAATATCAGAACTCCAAGCTGCCATGACAACTGGTAAAGCTGACTTATGGAGAGCATGCTTCAATGGGCTTTTTGCTAACCTGGTCAAAGACGGGCAAACGATAGTTGAGGCATCACCTTTTCATTATTTACCTCAGCCTTGAGTTTAGCCCTGTCACAAAGCAGATGTGGGATTTCATCCCGTAATTAACGGTTTTAATAATCACTGGGTATGGAGCTGCATCGGTGAGCAGAAGATTACGTCTGCAGCAGTTTAGCATAGTCCAAGTAAATGACTGAACTGTTGGGCCATAATCTTCTGGTTCACATTTGACATTGCATCGCTTAACACAAATAATTAGGAAAGACTAGGCTAGTTCTGCTTTGAGTTGAAGCTTTTGATATTGTGGAAATGTCAGCGCTGAGTTAGTGGCCATGCATTCATATTCACTGGGTGTAAAATAATTGACTGTCACTCCAGATAATTACTAATGTAGGAGCTTATTATTTGAACAATGTCTTCTGTGCTGCATCATTTCTGATATTCAGAGCGATCCAGTTCAGCTTATGAACTGGAATGTAAGGAAGAGTGGATAGGCACTTGCAGTTGTTTATCTAGAGATGGACATGCAGTTTGTCAGCAGCAGAGGCACAAAACTTGAATCTTTTCTTTTCCCTTCCATAGTTAAGAAACTGAACATATTGGTAGGACACCTTGGTGAAAATGATCCAGGGATCATAATAGACCATAAGGTAAACATGTCAGCTGTGTGATGTGACAGCCAACAAAGCTAATATAATTTTAGGCTGCATTAATAGGAGTATAATGAAAAGACTGAGGCGAATCAGTCTCATTCTTTTCTGCTTTGGTCAGACTTCACCTGGAACACTACGTCTAGTTCTGTGCATCACAGCTCAAAAAGGAGACTGGCAAACTGGAATATTTATTTATTATTCATTATATTAATTTGTATCCTGCTTTTTCCCCAAAATTGGGACCCAAAAAAGTCCGCAGGAAACTGCTAGAAGATCTGGAAACCCGTGAGGAATGGCTTGGGGAACTGTTTGTGTTTAACCTAGAGGAGAGAAGATGGAGAGGTGATATTGTAATCACATTTAAATATTTATAAATATTAAATAAAATGTCACGTAGAGGATGGAATCAGCTTGTTTTCTGCTGCTCCAGAGCCAGAACGTGGTTTCAAATTACAAGAAAAGAGATTCCACCTAAACATTAGGAAGAATTTATTGACCATAAGAGCTGTTTGGCAGGGAGAAGGAAAGCAACAAAGATGAGCGAGTTCTAAAGAACTAGAGCTGCCATGATTTTTGCCAAGGAGCACAATGACCTGTCACCTTGTGAAAGATATTAGCAGTGCTGTTGTGTGAATGCCTGATCAAAAGTAAGATTGACTTGGTCCACCACGGCTTACTCAGATAACTATAGACTTTATCACATGGGGAAAATCGGAGAAAATTGGGGGTTTAAAGAGTCAGTATCCTGGGAAAATCATGCGATCATGGTGAAGATTTTCACATGACATCGCAATTAAAGTAGACTTATCCCAGAAATAACCAGGGAATAACCAGTGACAAATTATTCACAAGAAAATCCTGTGAATGATTTGTTGGTGATTATTCCCGGGATAAGTCCTCTTTAATCGCAATGTGTGTGAAAATCTTCACCGCGATTGTGTGATTTTCCTGGGATATTGACTCTTTAAACCCCTGATTTCCCCCTGTGTGATGAAGTCCTATGAATAGGATTGCAGAGTTTGAATTAGGATCTGGAAAAAATATTTTTTTCCAAGTAAGGAATTAAAAATTGCTGGGCAATTGATAGGAGGGACAAGACTTCCAAAAGAAGAGGGGAAAGAGGAAAACAAGGAAAGAGGAGAGATAAAAATGTGACTAAGATAAAGGGTAAATACAATCAGCAAATCTTGACAATTTGCATAATGCTCCATCCCCTGGCATGGTTTGAATACAGAAGCTTTGGGTTGACTATGTGTACCTAATTTATTTGCATCACTTCCAGGGAAGTCCTGCAATGCCTCTCAGAAGTAATGTAGGCATGATGTAATGCTACTCTGGCCTGATTTTTTTCGTTGTTATAGTCTTGACTGATGAGGTACTTACTGGAGACCAGTTTCTATAAATGGCAAAAATTCAAACGTAAGGCTGAAACAGATACTCTTTTGCAGTCTCTGGAAAACTGTACAGTGAGTTAGTTCTAGTGATCTGTCTTGTGAACTCTTCTTAGCTCATTTTGCCATTGGTTTGATGCTTAAAGAATTTTCTCACCAAGTGCATGTCAGGAGAAAATGCTCAGTTTTCAAAGCATTCTTTCAACTTGTAATGTGCAGACTCTGTTTTTATATTCCAAAATGAAGAGGAACAGGAAACACGCTGCTTGATCTTCATGTGATGTAGCTGAACACTACCATTTGGATGTGTGTTTGGAACTGGAACATCCTAAACTTTGGCAGACTCTGTGGTCATTGCAAGAGTCATTTCAGGTTCTCATTCTGGGGGGTTGGGGGGGGTGGAGGTGGTGGTGGACAGAATTGTTGATTTTCTGTGGTTTTCTTAATAGTATAAGTTGGCTTTAGTTCTAAGAATTGTGTTTTTAGTCCTTAGAGTTGCATATTTTGGTTGAATATTTGATTACTTCTGCTCTTTTGCCCCAGTCATTTCTCATTGGTTGGTTGCATTTAAGTTTATTAATGCTGTAATTTGAAGGCAAAAGTCCATAATTTGAATAATTTGTCAAACGTGTGTATGTGCCTTTAAGTCGCCGGTCAACTTACAGCAATGCCATGAATTTCATAAGGTTTTCTTAGTCCAGAGCTGATCCTGCTTAGCTTCCTAGATCAGATGGGATCTGATGCCTTTAGGATATTTGGGCTCTAATTTGTCAGTTATGCACAATTAAAAACAGCCACATGCAAATGTTGGCTCACATAGATAGTTACTTGAGTTCCAAATCAGCCACCAATGAATTCAATCTGTCCATTGACAGAGACTGAATTATATTGAAGAGAAAATCTGAATAAGATGTGGGTCAGGACCCAAAAGAAAGTTTGCAGTGATCCAGGCTCACAGTGGTGTTGCTGGGACTGCATTCTTCTCAGTAATGCATCTGTTGATTTGATTAATACTTTGGGGTACCTGTCATTTCAAGAGCTAGCGTGGTACACTGGTTTGAGTGTTGGACTTGGACTCTAAGAGACCAGGGTTCAAATCCCTGCTCAGGTTCTACTCTTTTAGCTGCAGAGAAAGGTAATGATAAACCTCCTCTGAAGAAATCTGACTAAGAAAGCCTCCCCTGATAGGTATCTACTATCTGGCTCCTGATGTTTCCTAGAATTCAGGTTGGCCACCTGCCATTCATTTCAGAATGGCTGCTTTCTTCATACTGCAGTTGCAGATCAGTGAGTTTAGAGTCTTCCACTTTAGTTTCAGCTTTTTACTGAAGGGTCAAAGGGGTTTGGCCATTTGCTCCTGGCTATCTATCAACATTTACAAGCCGCTAACCTCCCATGATTGATAAGGTCACATTCTTTATAAATTCATCAAAGACCAAGCTGTGCGACACTGATGTATTACATGAATGGGAATAATCACACAGATGGCAGAAGGCTGGAAGTGAGATAAAAAAAATTGCAGTATTAATTCTTCCCCCCCCCCCCAAAGTTCTGTCGTCCTTCAGAATTAATTATCCAATCTGCTTAAAATTGAGCATCCTAATGAAATTTCACACCCCTTAACTTTAATCATGAAATACTCATGGGTTTTGATTCAGATAAAAAGAATGCCTCATATTTGGTGGTATTTTCAAAAAGAAATGTGGATTTTTAAAAAAAATCATCAGTGGTATTTCCATTTACCAGTGAATAAAAGAGCCTGGGAGATTTATACAAAGATATAATGGATGAATATAGTTTCCTTGCTCTCTTTGTTTCTGCTTTTTCAAGGCATATAAATAAAATGTTGCTGCTGCTGCTGTTGTGCACCTTCAGATCGATTCTAACTTAAGATGATGCTATTCTGGGGTAAAAAAATGAAATGCACAGTTATAGGATGGGGGACACCTGGCTTAACAAGACTACATGTGATGCAACAGCTAAGAAAGCCAATGCGATTCTAGGCTGCATCAATAGGCGTGTAGTGTCTTGATGGAGGGAAGTACTAGTATCTCTCTATTCTGCTTTGGTCAGGCCTCACCTGGAATACTGCATCCAGTTCTGGGCAGCACAATTCAAGAAGGATGTGGAGAGGCTGGAACATGTCCAGAGGAGGGCAACCAAAATGGTGAAGGGTCTGGAAACCACCAAGTCTTATGAATAAAGACTTAGGGAACTCGGTACATTTAGCCTGGAGAAGAGAAGGTTATGAGGTTAAGAGATGATATGATAGCCCTGTTTAAATATTTGAAGGGATGTCATATTGGGGATGGAGCTAGCTTGTTTTCTGCTGCTCCAGAAATTAAGACCCAGAACAGTGGATGCAAACTACAGGAAAAGAGATTCCACCTCAATATTAGGAAGAACGTCCTGACTGTAAGAGCTGTTCAACAGTGGAAGACGGTGTCTGGAAGTGTGGTGGAGTCTCATTTTTTGGAGAGGAGTGCTTCAATAGTATATTCATATACGGCAGAAAGGAGTTGGACTGAATGGCCCTTGGGGTCTCTTCCAACTCTGTGATTCTATGATTCTAGGTCAGGGGTAGGCAACCTTTCCCCTTTAAGGGCCAAGGGACTTCAGCTCCCAGAATCCCAGGAGCTATTGGCCAACATGGCTGAGGCTTCTGGGAGCTGAAGTCTCTTGGCCCTTAAAGGGGAAAGGTTGCCTACCTCTGTTCTAGCTTTTCTTGACAAAATTTATTCAGAGAAGGTTTGCCATTGCCTTCCTCTAGGGCTAAGAGAGTGGGACTTAGCCCAGGTCTCCCACTGGGTTTCCATTGCTCCATGGAGATTCAGACCTTGGTCTCTCAGAATCCCAGTCCAACACTCAAAACACTACACCATGCTGGCTCACTTATGAATAAAATATTGCGAGTAAATAATGCATTTTTAGGTAATGTTAGACAATTTTCTTTTCTTTTTAGTGCTGTTTTTAAGAACTAGGTTGTGAAAGTATAACCCATCTTTGCTGCAAAATTTTACCAAGGTCAGTGACAGTATCTGATAGGAACTATAATACAGTTCATAACAGAGGGGAGCTATTTTGAATTCTGCTTTTCTTAAGCATACTGCAACACATTCTCTTGCCTTTCTCTGTCTGTGTGTACCCTAACTGTGGGTTACCTTTATTTATTTCCCTTTATTTTTATTTTTTTAAAAAGACAAGAACCATCAAATGTGTGCTATATTGGCATTGTGATTTGCCTTGTGGGTTGGTGGTTGTTTTTAAAAGGTAACAGTTACAACAATGAAAGTACCTGGCACTCGTGTTCAAGGGAAAGGAGGCAGAAACCTTCCTCAGATTTTCCTGTTTAGCATGGCAAGGTTGGGGATTTATGGGTCCAGTTTGGTACACAGGAGTATAGGGAGTATGTTCAAATGCCACAATGCCATGCCATATATGCCCTGTTGACTCAGGACAGTCCAGCAGCAGAGTTATTGCTGCCTTGTTCGAGCTGCTGAAATACTGCAGGACATATAGATATAAAGTGGACCCTCCGCATTTGCTGGTTTTAGGGACACAGGTCTCCTGTGTAAGTGGGAAAACCGCAAATAAAAAATATTTATATTTTACCTGAGAGAACAACTCTCTAGGAATCCCTAGGTCCTCCAGGGCAATTCTATGGCCAAGAGTTGCCAGAGGTTGACCATGAAATTGCACTGGAGGACCTATAAATGCCCAGAGAAGTGTTCTCTCTAGGAATCTCTAAGTCTGACTTTTGGCAAAAGCTCTCCAAATGTTGTTGGACTGCAACTCTCATAGCCAGTGCAGCCAGATCCCATCCAACTTACTCCCTGCGGCTTTTCATGTTTGTGAAAACCTCACTGCTTGATGGCACAGCAGCATTGTACAGAGGCATAACTAGTTTGTGGATTTTCATCCACAAACTGAAGAGGCTTTAAAACAGCTTTTTATCATCCACGGCTACTGAGCTAAGGAGGGGAATGTTGGATGGACATAAATGACCCGCAGAGCTTCAGATCTCTTCCTTCCATTAAAAATGAAGACAATACTTTCTGTCTTTGAGAGATACCAACTTCCAGCCTCCTTCTGAACAATAATAGCTAAGCTGGTTTGGACTGCTGCCATAGCTCCAGCAGCTTCTCTGCCTTCAAAGAGTAAAACAGAATAGAGTAGTGCTTCAATAAGCCTTGTTCCTCTCCAGGAAAGACTGAAGTCTGCTGGCAACAGGCTTTGTTAGAGGCTTCAAAGCATTTACGGGTCAGAAACAAGACATCTTGGAAGAGGCATTCTTTAACAAGGTAATAGTTTCCTCTGGAGCAGGAAAGCAGGTGCTTGAAACAGACGCTCCCAAATATGGAGGCCAAGGGTTCTCCTCTTCTTTACCAGAGAATCCCCTTCAGATAATAGCAAGATGTTTGAGTCTCTTGGGAAAGCAAAGGATTTTAAAAGTTCCTCTGAGATGTTGGCAGAGCTGGGCATGTACTTCTGTAAAGCACCATGCAGGCAGGTGTCAAAAGGTCCCTTGCTGTGAGTGAAAAGTGGGAAGCAATACTTTTAAAATATTCTGGGGAGGGCCTTTAATACTGTTGTAGTTCATCTTTTGTATGTGTGAGGACCCTATTGCAATTCTAGGAATCTTTCCTTAAGATCTCAAAGAACAGGAACTATGGTGCAGGAACATCTTGGAAAGACTATTAAGAGTGGGCTCTAAAAGGACCCAGCTGCTCCACTGCACCTGGGTCCTTTTAGACCCCACTCTTAATAGTCTTTCCAAGATGTGGTAAAGCATATATCTGACTGTTTTCTACTCACTACCCCCAACTCCCACATTTATATGCTTTAGATCAGCTTCTGCATTCCTGAGGCATTAGAGCAAAGAGAAATAACAATAAAGATATGTGCAGCTTTGAATTTTAATCTGTCATCAGTCATAGAATTACCAGACTACAGAATTAAGTTTGCTTCTGCTGCCCGGATGCTAAACACATTTATTTGGGAATAAGTATCATTTTGTTATAGGAAAGGATAATGCTGTTTAAAGTAAACATAAGGAAATGAGGGCATTTACAATAAACAAGGACATGCACAAATGTTATTTGTAAAAATAGTAGAAAAAAAATAAGAGCAGGATGCTTTGGAAGCCTTAGAGGGCCTATGCGTATTCATGTTGAATTGTTTCACACTGTTCCCAACTGTCTGACTATCAGATAGTAGATTAAAGAGAGGGCTGTTACTGAGCTGTCAAGCTGTAAAGCCCAGTGTCCAGCCCTAGTGATGGCACTACTAGTTGTCTGTTGTTGTTGTTGTTGCTGTTGTGTTCTTCCAAGTTGTTTCCGGCTTATGGCAACTCACAGGCAAACCTATCACAGGGGTTTCTGGGCAAGTTTTTTCAGAGGGGGTTTGCCATCCTGAGAGGCAATGACTTGCTTGAGGTCACTCAGGAGATTTCATGGCCAAGCTGAGAATTGAACCCTGTTTTCCAGAGTCATAGACCAACACTCAAACTACTACACCATGCTGGCTCCTACTACCTGTGCCTCAGACATCTGTATGATCACAAAAGGAGGTGACTGTAGGAAGGTGGCAGGTGCAAGAACATGTTGTGAATGAACAGCAGATCTACAGAAGGAATTTGTATTGAAACTCCTGAGGATGGATGGGTGGAACAAATTGTTAAAGAGTCATAGATACTTCTGTCCTGTTTTGGTCTCAGAAAACCACAATCTTCAGAAAGAGAAGACAGGAAAACATAGAGCCAAGACAAACACAGGGAGAAGGGTGGCTCACCAACTAAGAGGCTGAAGCAGCAAAAATAGTTCAGTCCGTCATTCACAGTCCAGCAATAAATCCAGGCCACAGTCCGAGAGGAGATTACAAGAGCATAGTCAAGAGACAGAGCACGGTCTAAAGCATAAGCAGGAACACAAGGTGTGAATGTTGCTTCTACCAAGGAGTTCAGTAGTCAGCAACAAACTCCTGAGGGAGATGCTAGGCTATTTATGGTCTGAGAGTGTCTCTGACCTTCCTTCTCTCAATGATGCTCAGCTGGGCCCGATACCACCAGGTCTGTATCTATGTCTGTGACTATGTCAGTCTGTGGCCCTGAGG